TCTAAGGAAAATACGGACAATGAGCTTATAGTCTGAACTTGAAGAATCTTACAAATCTGTTCATTTATATCAGGTCTTATTGATGTATTGATAAAATAGACGTATGGGAATTCCTCCTATACAGTGTTCTGAATCTGTACTCTTTTGGGTATGTTTTTCTCATCACCTGCAGTCTTGGCCTCTCGTTCTCTTTCCGTCTCTGCTACTGCTGTTCGGAGTCTCATTTTTACATCCACCAGAACGAATGGCTAAAGGAAATAAGTGCATGTGGCCATGTGGCCAATTGCTCGGCTTCTCACCCATTTATCCTCATTCCAGTTAGATTCAGCTTCATGGGGTGATCGTTTCTGACATCACCGCAAAGTCTGGTACCCTTGACATCTGTCACCCCTGGGCTTGGCCTGGATCCGGTAGGAGAAGGATAAGCACCTACCGTGGGTGACAGACGCCAGGCTCTGCGTGTGCACTTCTAGCATAAGCAGCGGTTCTGGGCACAGGAAAGAGTCGCCAAATGTCCTTTTGTATTGATTTTTCCCAGTAAGTTTGAGTTTTAAAAAGTTGGTATTTAAACTTAAGGGCCGAACATTCACGTTTACGTGGAGAATTGGTGCTTGAATCGTTTTGCTTATTATTTGTCAGTAACATAGACAAAGCACCTAAAAGCTGCATCCAGAACTGCTGGTTTCATTGATGATGATGAATGGGTAGTGTGTTTACAGGAACGAAGACTTTATTCTGGCTTAATTGTTACGTTCACGTGAAATATCAGCCACCTGGATAAAGTGACCATTTAAAATCCAGCACTGCCTCCTACCCCTGTCTGTTCCCCGTGCCCACAAGACATTTTTTCCTCCCAGCATAAAGTGTGAGCCTTCATTTTGGCCACACGTGTGTGTGTGTGTGTGTGTGTGTGTGTGTGTGTGTGTGTGTGTGTGTAGCTACATGTGCACATTCACGCGGTACTGAAGCTTAGTGTATTCCAAGCTGCCGTGTTGTGCAGGACTCCTGACATGCAAATGAAGACCCAAATAGAACCAGCGGGGGCAACCAGGGGACCCTGGAGTAACGCAGAACTGCAAGACAGGCTCAGAAGCTGCTGGAATTTACCCTGCTGTCGGAATTCTCCCTCCCCGCTCTTGTTCTTTGTTTCTTCCTGAGCGCCTGGCTTTCTGCCTCTCACTGCAGACTGACTCTGCCACGTGGAAAACACATGCCCTGCCTCGCGAGGCTCCAGGCCACCAGAGAGAGATACCTGTTGTGAATCCAGGTGGCCCAGGACGGGAACCTGGGCTTCTCAGCCCTCGCCGGGGCCAAGGGACCCTGTAAGAAGGCGGCAGCTCTGAGGGCCACTCCGCAGAACAGGGGAGCGGGAGCCCTCGCCAGGGGAGGAGGAGCTGTTCCCAGGAGACCAGGCGCCCGCTGGTGTTGTTCCCGCACATTCCTGAGGATTTACCGGGAATCCGAATGCCTGTTTAAATCACTTGGCAGACTTAACTGTAATCTTAGATTTTTTTTTTTTTTCTTCCAGCTTCTTGTCAACTACAGCGTTTAATTATAATCCCTCTTCGGCAGGCGCATACTAGTGCTTCTTACTCGTGTGTCAGGTTGAGCTAACAAAGTGAAAAAGGCCAGAGAGGGACCGCGTGTTTATGACAGCAGGAGGCCGAGCTGTCAGTGCCCGTCGTTTTTGTAATCCGGAATCACCGTTGCCGGGCACGCGCTCAGCCGCTCTGTAAGCTCTGCGTGTAGTCAAGAGCAGGGCGGCGCATGCACTTCGTGAATGTTTGGAAACTTTGCACACATAAAAGAGTAACTCTTTTTTCCCTCTCTGCCAAGGTGAGTCAGCCTAATCCCAAGGAGGGAAAACTGGTCTCTGGGCATCGACTTCACACTTTGTGTTTCAAAATTTGCGTTCATGACTATAGTTAATAATATAGTGTGTTCTCAAAAAATGCTGAGAGCGGATGTCAAGTGTTGTGACCACAAAAATGACCGTGGGAGGTAATGCACGTGTGAATTAGCTAGATCTAATCATTCCACAGTGCACACGTACTTCAAAACCTCATGCTGCACGTGCCAAATACATACAATTTAAGAAAATTTTAAAAGTTTTAAAAATTTTGCAGCAAGCATTCCACTTAAAAAAATAAATAAAATCTGTAAAATAGAAACATTTTTAAATGAAATGAATAAAAGGATGTGGGGTGGGAGAGGGGAAATTTGAGTTAGTTTTCAACCGAAAACTGCTTGGGTATGTTCCAAATCCATTAAAAATAAAGTTCTTGGTAGCCCGTCCTGCGCTTTGCAGAATATTCGTTGCCCATAGCTCTCAGTAGTGTCTGCGTCCAGCTCGTCTTTTCCGGAATTTAGGATTAGTTGAGTGGAATCTACAGTCCAGCTAAACCCCCAAATGAGTATTGTTTCCGTGGAAACGGTAGAAGTCCTCTCAATTAAAACTACCTCTGCAGGCTAGGGAGATTATGTATTAGCATGAGTTTGTCTGAGAATCCTCCAAATTAAACCCAGAGAGTACCAATGATCTCAAGTCTACTGACAGTGGGGTCATACTTTTCTGTCGTTGGGGGAGGGATTATGTTGATGTTTCAGGCACAGGTAGGTTGGTTTGCTTTGCTGCACTGCCCAGGTAATTGTCCCTGTTCTCTGGTAAGCTCCGTGCGTGCAACGGTGGATGCCGGGAGAGTGTTCGGGAACAATCTGATCTTTGCTCGGACTCGTCTGTGAGTCGCAAATAAAAAGCCCATTAAAAATGGTGGAGTTGTAGAGCAGCGTTAACATTGGAAGGAGCCTGAAGGTCATTAAGGCCCAATTTCCCATCCAGTTGGGGGAGCCTTCCTAGAGCGCTGTTGACAAAGGTCCACAGCGTCAGCTCCCGTGAGCGGACGCCCTTATTTCCCCGGGCAGCGGGCTCTGATTCATCGTGGGGACCTGGCAGTGGTAGAAATGCCTCTTTAGGACGGAGCTGACATCGTTGTCGTTGTCTGTCAGTCCCGCCTCTGCTGCCTCCTCTTTCTGGTGGCAAGGAAGCCGGGTCTCCTTCTTCTCCCATGATTAAATTAACTTTAAACTTTTAAGAGTGGTACCATGTATCGCCAAAGTCCTCTCTCCCCCTGGCTGAGCAGGTCGGAACGTGAGGACCTCAAGTGTTGATGTCTGTGGCTAACGGCATTCTGGGGGCGCAGGTGGCTTCCTTCCAACACTGGGCTGTACCACTGTCGCTTAGATCTTGTCGGACTTCTCTGGCAAGTTCTCAGCATCACGTGTACAGGTGCAGAGAATTGCTTTCAGTACTTCCGTGTTTGCCTTCAACCTTCCCCCCCTGGAATTGAGTATTCACAGTGCAGAGTTTGGAAGCCTAAGAAACAAAAAACTGGATCAAAGCGTTGGTCTATGCGGTCTTGGGAAGGGTGTGGTTGCCTTCTGTGATGTCACCTCGGAAGTAGTGACTACACCCTCCTAACTGCTTTGGTAACCTTTCAGCCTTTTGTCTGTGACTTTATTTAAACCTTTGACCTTTTTTTTAATTAGGTTTAAGCTTTACATTTTTAAGAGTCCTTTAACAATGTCTCATATGTATTCTGTTATTAATATCCTATTATTGTTAAGTTGGCACCCCCCGCAAAAGAGAACAAACAGAAAAACCTAACAAAATACTCTTCTCCAAATGCTCCCACAGCCTTAAAATAGACTAAAACTTCAAACTCCTAAACTCAAATGTTGATTAGTGCCAACTGGGAAGTACTAGGAAGCGGGTACGTGGCCCCACTTGGAGGGGGAGGATACTAAAATAGACATTCTGTTCTAGTTGCAAAAAATCAATAGTTGGGTCACCTTCAGCCAGTCACCAAACTGCTCTGATTTGTCCTCAAGTATAAAATCAGATGAATCCTTCCTGTTCTTCCAGGTGGTTGAGAGTACTTTGAAAACAAACTAATATTAAGACTTTATAGCAAACTATACCATGATACTCTGGGAGTATTTTTGATGGGAGAGTTCAGAACAAACGTACTAAGATAAGAAAATAAAATATTGGTGATACTGGGTTTTAGGCTCACATATGTCCACAGTTTCAAAGTAATCTCATCATTTCTGACCTAGGTTCTGGGCGGTATTTGATGTGGTGTCATACTTAAGGGAGAGAGGATTTCAGTAAACAAGTGGCATTGTTTGTGGAGAAGTGAAATTCCTCTGAGTTCCTGTGGTCATCTTAGGGCAGAAGAATAAGAGCTGAAAGCGAGGGAGTAAGCTTTGATTTATAAATCCTTTCAATCCCAGCTCTTTGAAGAAGGTGGTAGGAAGTACCCTGGCAACTAGGTTAGAACAGCCGGCAGCGCAAACCACGGACGTGGGCTTTTAGGGTCTGAGCCTGACAGTCTCCCGTGAAACTCAGGAGTGAATCCTGAGGTGAGATTTGTCTTTGGAAAACTTGCAGGTGCCTGTGGCGGGACCAGCTGCTGTGTCAGTTTCAGCTTCTGGCTCAACCCCTGTGACCCGAGAAATGCCAGGGGCTTTGACTTGGGCAGTTGTCTGACATCTGCAGGTCCTGGGGGCTTGAAGTTACCACACCCCCTTGCCGGGCGTCAGGGCGTGTGTTTTTCTTACACACCCATTTTCTACTCAAGACCGCTTATATCTGGGGACACAGAAAACAAAGGTGACATCTGGGTCTTCTCCATACAAAGTCTGATGACATTTCCTTGGGGTCATTTTTTGTTCTGTATAATTTTCCCCAAAATGTGAACACACTTAGATCTTGGAAAGAAAACAGTTTTTTTTCCTTTTCGTGTGTGTGTGTGTGTGTGTGTGTGTGTGTGTGTGTGTGTTGTGTCGTGTCGTGTCATGTCTCAAGTATTGATCATGCCTGATAATCAGGTGACCTCAGGAGTTTTGTCTCTGGGAGGGAGGAAGAGGCAAGCGCAGTAACCTTAGTGTTGGAAAACTGACCCCACCGCCTGGTGCCTTGTGTTCTCTTCTACTCCCAGGGAGTTCTGTCCAACATTTCTTCCATCACCGATCTCGGCGGCTTTGACCCAGTTTGGCTCTTCCTGGTGGTGGGAGGAGTGATGTTCATCTTGGGATTCGCAGGGTGCATCGGAGCGCTCCGGGAAAACACTTTCCTTCTCAAGTTTGTAAGTATCCCGCTCTCTGCTCTCAGCTGAGAGCCGACTCTTGTCTTCCGTTAGGAGGACGCCGTGTCTACAGGCAAGGCGGTGAGCTCTGCCAAAGGCACTGGCAAAACGGGGCCAGGTCATGATTTTCTTTTAGCAGAGCTCTCTAGAGCCCACCCTCAGCCCCCGCTGTGCCTCCTTAATAAAGTACGCCCGCCCCTGCCATCCATGGAGGTTTTGGGCGTGAATGTCACAAATTTGCATTGCAATCCCTAAAATGCCTTTAGGATTAAGGTAGGTGTATATATTTTTCTTTTTTTAAGTGATTTCCACCCTCCCTCTTGTACACACCCAGTAAGTAGAGAACTGTGTAGGTACACTGGTTTAGAGCAACCAGGCATAAGCACAGTGACCACGGCCTTTCCAGATTAAATCCGTTGAACAGTAGGTTTTGGCAAATAGGGAGCAGCAGTAAAAGGTAAATCTCCTTTGTACTTGGCCAGCACAAAGTTCTCCTTTGTATGGCGAGCATGATGTTTAGATCTTCTACAGGGTATTTGGTGAGGTCACTGTTGGCGTGAATGTTTGTAGAAGGGGAATTTCACCAGGAGGTGTACGGTATGAAAAGCAAAGGTAGAGAATGAAAAGCGAAAGTCTTTGCTTTGGAGATTCCTTCAAAGGAGAGCCGAGTGGTCTGTGCTCACACGCGTCTTCAATGCAGCGTGGGCCAGCCGGTGTGCCGCCTGCGGGGAGCTCGCAGCGGTGGCGTCTGCGTCGCAGCCCTGTGTGCGAGGGTCCCCTCCCCTCGCGAGAGCAGGGACAGGATCCCAAGGACCCACCTTCCTACGGCGAGGGAAGGCGGTGGGGATCTCTAGAGGACGGTGTTGGTACCTGTGATCTCATCTGCTGCTAGAATCACTCCCAGCCTCTGCCGACGCACCATCCAGGGGCGTTTCCGTGCAAGACGGGGGATGCATCTAGAACTCGTCCAGCAGCCCTGCAGCGCGGGATCGTCCTGCGGCATCTCTCCTGGGGAGAGGACTCCCCGTTTCTCCCTCAGGGCAGCCCCCTTTCGAATCTGGGCAGCTCTGGCCCAGAGAAGGGTCTGGAGGCTGATTAACCTGGACGTTCACGTGGCTCATGCTAACGGGGAGAACCCTGGGGCCGTGGTCCTCTGTGGGGTTTAGCGAGCAGGTGGCTCTCTGCTTTGCACACGTGGGACTGCAGTGGCCGTGGCCGCTTTCCCGAGACTCCGCCTGCCCCATCCGCCGGGTCCCTCCCTTCTACACACCCACAGCCAAACGCCTCCTTCTCCACCTAGCGAGGGACCTGTGGAGACCCCAGGAGAGCTCTGTCCCCGATGGCGACCTGTCAGTTTGCCAGCCTTGTTGGCATGCGGCATGTCGGCCCCCTTCACGTGGCCTTCCTGCAGCCTGACGGGGCCCGGCTCACACTCACCAGCTGCCACATTTTATCTGTTCCAGCCTTCATGCATCAAAATGCGGGACCACCTTTAATATGATTTACCTGAATATAATTTCATTTATAATGGTAGTCCCTTTCATACAGGTGAGTTATTTTTGTAGTAGATGCTGAGTTAAGAGAACAGGCAGAAATATACACACTTGTCTAAATGGGGCACCTCAATTTATGAAGTCCCATGTTGGAAATGAAGAGAATTCTTTTCCTGAGCTTTTTTAAGTCTTAGAGGATATTTAAAACAGCCTCTCACTCCATTTAGTACAAAAGTAAAAATTGGCCTGGAGTAATCTTTGAACAGGAGGTATGAATTAAGCATTAATAAATGTCAACATGGTTCCAAATAGCCTCGCGGCCCTGATGCCGTGGACTGGGAGCATTGCTGAGGCAAACGCAAGGGCTGGCCTGCTAGGGATACACGCCGAGCTTCCTGGCGGCCCGAGGCTCAAGGATGAAGCCTGTGAGTCAGTCTCCGCACCTTCGCAAATAGGGGAAATTAGCTCAACGGGGCCTGGGCCTTGGAGGTTTCTGCCAGATATTTTATGTGAATTGAATTTGGACTCAATTTTTGATACGTATATTATGTAACATGATGAGAACATTTACCAGGGGAGCCAGACAATGAACTTAACCTAACTTTATGGAGGTGCGAACTAAAACCTAATTAAAATCTTTGCACGACTTCTGTCTTGGTGTTTGCTGTGTACACTTATGTGCGCTGGCTATAATTTTGTCATTTCTATAGTCTGGTAACTCATACTTACATGTTTAGGATGGTACCTAATAAAGGGCATGGAGTTAAACTGCAGGGTAGACATTGAACAAAAGTGTCACGCCTGTGATCCCAGCACTTTGGGAGGCTGAGGCAGGAGGATCGCTTGAGCCTGGCAGTTTAAGACCAGCCGGAGCAACATAGCGAGACCCCATCTCTACAAAAAATTACAAAGTGAGTTGAGCACGGCGGTGCACACCTGTAGTCCCGGCTACTTGGGAGGCTGAAGCAGGAGCATCACTTGAGCCAAGGAACTCAAGGCTACGGTGAGCTACGATCACGCCACTGCACTCAAGCCTGGGTGAGAGAGAGAAGGACCCTGTCTCTTAAATTAAAAAAAAAAAAAAGTGGTCCGATTTTTTTTTTTCTGTCTGTTTTTCTAGGTTAAGGAAAGCTTAAATTGAAACTATAGACACCACTGGTGATAATGAAGAACTGTTTAAACTCTATTTCTAGGGAACTCATCAAGGACAGATAACCAGGACCCCTATGGAAACCTGAAGGGCTGAGCTGTAGGGTCTAGAATTGGCACCTAAACCTGGGGGTCCAAGACTTTGCCAGGCACTTGCTTTCTCCTTCCTCCCTCCTCCCATGCCCCCTTGCAGAGGCACCAGACAGACACTGCCAGATGCGCTGACACCTCATGTGTGCAGGCCCCGCCCACTGCCCCCGCCTGCCGTCCCCAGTCCCATAGGACTGTGAGGGCTCCGAAGGCCGGGGAATGGTCCTACGCAGCCTTGCTCCCACACAGCCCACCTGCCACCGGGCCTGGCCCATTGTGCAGCAGTCATAGATGTTTGCTGAATGAATAAACGTTTCTTGTCTTTTTTTCTTTTAATGAGTAACTCCGTCCTTTCCTTTGCACCCCTCACCCAACACGTTTCCCTCCCGCTGGCTGCTCAGCGTTGCTTGCTGCATGTGGCAACCGCAGACTGCTCGAGCCGCCTCTGCTGCTCCCTGTTCTGCAGCCTCCGGGACCTCTGCCCCACAGGCGTGGCCCCAGTGTCACCCAGTCTGCCCTTGTCACCAGGAGAGTTTGCCCGCAGTGTACACGTCCTTGCCAGCCCATTTCTCATAATCTGTTTTCGCGGAAAAGTTTGCAAAGGGTGAGAAGGTGGGGTGGCAGGCGGTGGAAAGAACCGTGGGTGTGCACGGGAGGCTGGTATGACTAAGAGGAGACTTCGAGGCCCTGGGTGGAAGGAGATTCACACTGCCTCCTGCTCCCGAGCCCTCCTTTGTAAACGCTCATTGTCTACGTTAGGCAGAAGGCCCCCCTTGGCCAAATTTTGATCTTACTTTAAATGGGTGCAGCTAGCATTCCCAAGAAAGCCCTCCACCCAGGGGTTGCATTTTGTTTCTGAGATGGGACATTATTTTCATGTCAGAGCCACCCCCACTTCCTCTTGGACCTTGTCGTCTAAGATGAACGCATCTGTGATTTTACCCCGTACAGCAGGTGCAAAGGAAGGTCGAAACGGTGTCAGAATCCATAAAAGGAATATGGCGCATACAGCATCAAGGCCACAGTAACAAGTGACAAGCCATCGTAAAACACTGCAATGAGCTATCTTTCGAGTTACAATAGAAAAGCTCACCGGAGGTAGGGGCAGGTCATTGCTGAAGCGTCTGGCAGCACATTAATCACGAGAAATTCATTAGGCCTCAATGTGGGTCTAATGAGAAATTCCTATTATCCATGTTTGCATATGGGCTTTGTTGGTTAATTACCAAATAGAACACCAGAGACCCTAAAATGTGATTATGAAATGATTTTTAATTTTTAAAAGGCCTTTCTTGGAGTGTAATATCCTATTAATGAATCTTAAGAAACTGAAGATTATCTGCTTTGGAGATGTGTTAACGACCCGATGTAATTGCGAACCTTTTTAGAGAGGAACCGTTTAACGACGTATGATCAAAATGGCCCTGATAACTGTTCTCTGTGTCTGTGTCTCTTGTCTTAGTTTTCTGTGTTCCTGGGGATTATTTTCTTCCTGGAGCTCACTGCTGGAGTTCTGGCATTTGTTTTCAAAGACTGGATCAAAGACCAGCTGTATTTCTTTATAAACAACAACATCAGAGCATACAGGGATGACATTGATTTGCAAAACCTCATAGACTTCACCCAGGAATATGTAAGTTGAAATTTGGTTTGTTTTCAAGTGGAAAGTCTTCTTGCAACAATGATGCCAAGTGAATGCTCCTCCTGGCTTCTGCGTCTGCCAGCCGGAAACTACTTGCCTTTTCTACATGGGTTTTTGTTTGTTTGTTTATTATTTTCTGATTTACTCCATGACTTACAGGATTTGTACCCTACACGGAAATGTCCTACTTTCACTCATTTCAATTTCTATTAAGTTAGAGAAACAAAGAAAAAAAACCTCCTGAGCAAGAAAAGGTTGTAATTGCAGCTGTAACCTTTTAACATGTGAAGAAAGGACATTGTTTTGCTCCAGGTGTAAATTTTGTATTTTAATTAACTTTTGATTTGTATATATTCATCTGAAATTTTATTTGGTTATGAAATATGGATTCCATATCTTTGCCCCCTTTTCTGTTAATCTGTGATACTTCACAGCTTATAATAATATACTGATCAATAGAATATTTGTCTGCAAAGTTCCAACAATATGGCTGTCCAGATATTGTTACAGCACATGCAGCTCAAACCAAAAGTTTAGAAACTCCTCAGCCCTAGTGGCTTCTATGCTCTGGAGTCCCGGCCATGCCCTCGGGTCCCCGAGCCTGAGTGTGTGACGGCTTCTGCGGTGCAGGCAAAGCGGCAGGTGTCCTGTTTCACTCAGAATGCAAAATGGTCGCAACAGGGGGCCAGAAGCCGCAGGTCTAGTGCCGAAATCTGATCAGCTGAGGCACCCGGGGCTCGCAGGACCTCGATCGGTTTGCCTAATAGTGAAATGGAAGCACCACTAGCTTGTGACGCTCCACCGAGGTGTGCGTGGCTTTATGTTCGGTTTAAGGTGTTCGTGTCCTACAAACTGGCAGGTCTCTGTGTGCCTGGCCTGGGTGGGTGGGCCGAGCATAACTGCACAGTGGTCCCCGGCGTGAATGTATATGGCAGGGCTGGAGGGCAGGCATAAGCCCAGTGGGCCGGTGGCCTCCCTTGGGTTGGACAGTTTTCCCGAACCAGCCGGGGTCCCCTGTGATAACGGGAGGCCGTGGCCATGGCAGAACTCATCGGGAAGGTGGCCGCCCCGTCACTGGGCGCTCAGCACTGCGCTGGCGCACGTGGGTTCAGTGGCAGCAGCAAGGGTCCAGGAGCGAGCTGTCCCTCAGGTGTGACACGAAGTCCTGTTTCATCTCCGCAGCCGACGTCACTGTGTTGTGAGGTCACAGCAGACGCGGGCTCAGCCCTTCCCAGGCGCGACTCCTGGCTAGTTTGCGTGACAGGTTGGCCGAGCGCTGTAGGCAGACCCGAGATGCACAGCCCGAACCCGGGACGAACCCGCTGAGTTCGAAGAGCATGCGTCTACGCGTTCCCTTGGGAGGCCGCCTGCTGTATACGGCAATGCTGCTGCTCCATGGGATTTTGTTTTTCTATCGTAGAGTTTAGTGTTTTGAAGTAACTCTAGGTGCCGAAAGCCTTAAGGTGGTCTAGGCTTGAACTGCATTTACGCAGGAGAAGTGGAGCTCGTGCGGCCCCGGGCAGGGCAGAAGGGGCTTGGGGGCGGCCCTTGGCTCAGGCCACTTGCACCCCACTGAATTTTCCAGCTCGTTTTATTATGTTTTAACTGGATGACTGACTTTTTAAAGTTCAAAATGTGAACACATGGTTTTTGTTTTGAAAAAAACTCCAGAGTAGAAACAAATACAGTGAAAAGCCAGCCCCTAAAACTTTTGGGGGTCACGTTCTGGGGACGGCTTTACAAAAGTGGGTCCCTGTGTCAGAGCTTTGCAGATTGGACACTTACCTATGTCAGTTAGACCTCAACAAAACTGATTTTTTTTTAAAACCATTAAAATGTAGAGGCCAAAACTTCAAAACAGTAAGCCTTTGGAGAGCCTGCCCACAACTCCAGTTGCCTCCTTCGGACACTGCCACTGTTGTTAGTATCTTGTTTATCCTTCTAGAATGTTCTTGTTCGTCCTTCTAGAAGGTGCCCAAGCCACACAGATTTTGTTCTGACTGAGCCCGGCTGGGCAGCTGCTCAGCCCCTCCTTTCCCTGGCGCCACGGGTTCCGTCAGCCGTTCAAACCCCATGCCAACCTGCCCTCACAAGCCCTCAGCCTTGGTGACCTTGGAGGCTTTTGCAGGGGCCATTTAGGTTCAGTCTGGCTTAAAAATAATACCCGCGACAGCAGAGCAGGTTAGAGCCGGCAGAAGCGGGGCGTCGTCGCGAGTGTAGGCGCCTGGTCGCCTGCAGGCGGAGGTGTTCTAACTCTCTCCTGTTTGCTCTAGTGGCAGTGCTGTGGGGCTTTTGGAGCTGATGATTGGAACCTAAATATTTACTTCAATTGCACAGATTCCAATGCAAGTCGAGAGCGATGCGGCGTGCCCTTCTCCTGCTGCACTAAAGACCCCGCGGTAAGTGCGTGCCGGCCACCGGGGCCGCTCTGCGCGTCACCCCGAGCCCACGCGTGGGACAGCAGAGATACTTGTTTTCTTGAACCTCTCCTTAGCCGGTTACTCCTAAGTGTAGCTCCCGTAGGGGCAGAGTGCTCAGATGTCCCGGCAGGAGCTCTGATCGCTGACGTTAATTTAGCAGGACGTGCTGGTTCCTCGTCTAAGCCTTTACGCACGTTGGCTTCTTTACGTGCAGAAAATTCCTCCCAGCAGACAGTGCCATTATCCTCCCTCCCCAGGTGAAGAACCAAGGCATGCGGGGTGGGGTGTCGGGCACCTTCCCAAGCTCAAACTGCCAGCAGCTGGTGGAGCTGAGCCCCAGACCCAGGCGGACAGCCCGAGTCCCCTGCTAGTCCTTTTTCATATGACAAGCTCCTGGGAGAGCTCTCGCAGTGGGTGGGTTGGTGACCCTTTTCTTCCTGGTGTAGTTCTAGGGGAAATACTAGGAGTAGCCGCAGAGTTTGCGACAAGGTGGGCTAGACAGCTGCCCAGACGCTCGGGTGTCTCAGTGACTGTAGTAACTGAGGTTTGTGTTTTATTTAACATAAAGGGAAAATACAAAATCTATTTATAAGCCGCTCCTTTTTACCGAAGGTTTGATTATAATTTAGGTCCAGTCCTGTGTCTGGTATATAAAATGACTTAAATGCAACTCTCTAGTGTCAGAACGACAAACGTGAGAGGTGACTCCCACACACGTCCCCGTGTGCTCCTAGCTGTGGCTGTTCCGGGACTCTGTTCTCTGGCCCTACGGCCCCAGATGTCCCCCGCAGACCCCCACTGCCCCCGTAAGCAGAGCTGTGTGGGTGCTCTGAGTTCACTGCAGCTCTTGAAAAGGGGCTGTGGTCTTGGGGTGGAAAGGGCTGTCCCCCAGGGCCACCTGGGCTGTTTCTCGTGATCCGAAGGAGGAAGCTGACAATCACTGCGGACTCTCAGCAGTGAGGAGAAAGGAAAGCCCACCTTTCCCGCGGCTCCTTCCCCTCTTTCTTCTGAGGAGGCCAAGTGGCAGCACAGCGGCCCCGCTCAGAGCACGAGGTCCCCATCCAGGCAGCCTTGCGCTGGTGGCAGATGCCACACAACGCGCTCCTTGTCGCCAGTTCCTGCCCTTCCGGAGAATTCTGAAGATTCTCAGAACTCCCTAGGCCTCCCCTTGCAACTGCAGATCCTCTGGGTAGAGGCAGCTCACTCCTTGAACTGTAAACTAATAGAATCTGCCCCACACCTTGCAGAGAGGGAAAATAAACTAACCCCAAATAGCGGAACCCGTGTTTCCCATGAGGCCCCGCGAGACGTCAGGCTGTCCGTGGGATGCGTGGCCAGGCCATTGTTTCGCTTAATGATAAAAGTCATTCATTCTCATTGAAAAACCATTTGAATAATACAGAAATATATATATTAGAAAGTAAAAGTCCCCCCAAAAAAGCATAAATGAGGACAGTCACTGTGGCCTTTACCTGTGGTTTTTATCTGTGTCTCCAGTCCCCTAAGCCCCATAACCTGCCTGAGGTTGGCAACATCTTGAACCTCCAGCCTCCTGCACGGGGAACTTACTGGCCCCTGACAGTCCCTGAGCCGCAGTGTTCCTCGTTTGTGAGACAGGGCGTGCCTGAATGCCTGCTTTCAAAGATCATAGCAATAGTGACACGGAGTGACATATATAAAGTGTTTAACGCGGTGCCCAGTCTGTGTGCCCAGATACACAGTTTATCACACTCCCAGGGCCCTTCTGCCCATGCCTCGGTGGCCTTTCTGTCTAGCAAGAGTGACTTCCACTGTTCCCTTTTCTTTTTCCACCAGGAAGATGTCATCAACACACAGTGCGGCTATGATGCCAGGCAGAAACCAGTAAGTGGGCTCTCCCCTTGTCACCGAGCACGCAGGGTGTCTGGAGGAGCCGTCGCGTGCGCGGTGCCGTGCCTGTGACACTGTCCTTTGTCTTCCCTTGCGAAGGAAGTCGACCAGCAGATCGTGATCTACACGAAAGGCTGTGTGCCCCAGTTCGAGAAGTGGCTGCAGGACAATTTAACCATCGTGGCTGGTATTTTCATAGGCATTGCCTTGCTGCAGGTGAGACAAGAGTCCTGCTTGGATGTCACAGGAGTCCCTGGGAGAGCCCTGGCCGGGACAGGAGTTTTGCTTAATCACGTTAATGTCATCGTTTTTGAGACACATTGGAGGGCTGAGGAGCAGACCTAAACTAGTTGGTTTGTCTTTTATTAAAGCTCTGATTTTAGATACTACTATCTTGAAATCTTTTAGGAAACTTTTTTTTCTTTTCAAGATGGAAAAATTGATTAGGTCACCAGGTGCCTGCGGGCATTCCATCATTTCCATGGGCTCAGTAGTGCCGCGTGTGACGCCTGGGGAAGTAGTTTCAGTGGTAAGGTTAAGGTTTGGGGGAGTTTCACAGAGATATTATGCCCCTTTCTGTCTTTGGACCACCTTGCCGAAGGGCTAGTGAAGGAGGGGACACCCACTTTTCTTCCTTAGCAGGCGCAAGAGCCAGACTCTTCATGTTGTTGGTGTGATACTTTCCTAACAGCGCACAGTGGACAGAAAGCAAAGAAGACCTAAATAAATATAAACACATCCTGTTCACAGATTGCAAGATTTAATATTACTAAGGTGGCCGTGCTCCTCAAATTGATCTACACATTCAGTGCAGTCCCTGTTAAAATTCCAGCCACCTGTCTAGCAAAAACAGACAAGCCGATCCTCTAATTCATATGGAAATGCAAGGGACTCACAAGAGCCAAAGCAAACTTGAAAAAGTTGGAAAATTCATACTTTTCAGTTAAAAACTTACTATAAAGCTACAGTAATCAAGATAGTGCATACTCAAGGTTAGCCATATAGATGAGTGGAAAAATTGAAAGTCCAGAAATAGACCCATACAGCTGATTTTTGACAAGGGAACCAAAACTGTTCAGTGAGGAAAGAACAGTCTCTTCAACAGATGGTTCTGGGAAAACTGGATTTGTATACGCAAAAGAGTGAAGTTAGACCCCTCCCTCACACCGTATATAAAAATTAACTCAGAATAGATCAGAGACCTAAATAAAAGAGGTAATGCTATAAAACTCTAGAAGAAAACAAACATGTCAATCTTGGTGACTTTGGATTAGGCAGTGTTTGCTTAGACATGATACCCAAAGCACAACAACCAAACAAAACATAAGTAAATTGGACTTCCTCAAAATTTAAAACTCTGTGCTGAAAAGATACCATAAAGAAAGTGGAAAGAAATATTTCCACCCATTCCACAAAATGGGTGGAAATATTTGCAAATCATTGTCTGATGAGGATCTAATATCTAGAGTATATAAGGAACTTTTACAACTCAACGTTAAAAAGACAAACCCAAATTTAAAAATGGGCAACGGATCTGAATAGACATTTCTCCAAAGAAGATAAAAATGGCTAATAAGCACACGAAAAGATGCCAACATCATCAGTCATTAAAATAATGCAAATCAAAACCACAGTGAGGTATCACTTCACACCCCCTAGGATGGCTATAATAAAAAAGACAACATAAAGTGTTGGCAGGATGTGGAGAAGGTGGAACCCTCTGCTGTTGCTGGAGGGAAGGAAATTGGTGCAGCCTCTTTAGAAGACAACTTGGCAGTTTCTCAGAGAGTTAAACATAGATTTACCATGTGAGCCAGAATTCTGCTGGGTCATATGGGTAGGAATGTACCCAAAAGAATTAAAAACATGTTCACTCAAAACCGTCTACACAAATGTTCGTCACAGCATCATTCATAATTGCCAAAAAGTGCAAAAAATGCAAATGTTCATCAGCTGAGGAATGGATAAACAAACTGATATATCCATATGATGGAATATTACTCAGTCATCAAAAGAAATGTCTGGAATAGGCAAATCCATAGAAACGGAAAGTAGAATAGTGGTTTCCAAGACGGTAGGGATGGGGGAATGGGAATGACCGCCCCTGGCTACAGGGTTTCTTTCTGGGGTGAGGAAAATGTTCTGTAATTAGATAGCGGTGGTGGTTGCCTGGCTTTGTGAATATACTAAAAGCCACTGAATTATACACATGAAAAGGATTCATTTTGCCATAGAGGCATTCTAGCTCAGAGTTAAAAAATCAGAGGTAAAGAAAATGGGACACAGTGGCCAGGGAGAATCCTAATGGAGTTATGAGTGTCACCGCTTAACTCACTTTTACTTCCTTTCTCAGATTTTTGGGATATGCCTGGCCCAGAATTTGGTCAGTGACATTGAAGCTGTCAGGGCTAGCTGGTAGACGCTGTCACAGCTGCTGCAAGACACTGGACACGCCCAGCCTTCGCCACCCTCCCACGTGCCCAGCTGACAGCCGAGCTGTGCAGACCCCATCACCGAGGCATCCTGCAATCTCACCTAACGGAGCTGCCAAGAACTTGGTTTCTGGGGGGGTAAAACTGGGAAATGCTGCTCACTGACAGAATTTTTTTTTTAAAAAAAAAATAACCAGTATGAAAGTCGTTGCGCCATGAATCTCTACTGTAGCCATGAATTTACGGATGGTTGGATGCTTACCAAAAATGAAAGGAAGGGAGGGTGGGGGACTCGGATGTACTTGAATTTGTGGAAAATCCAGTGCTGTCCTCTACTGCAGTAAGTGAATGGTTGGAAGAGGCAGTCTCGCTCCTCGTCACACCTCGGAGGGACTGCGTCTGCTCCCCGGCTGGAAGAAATGGTCTCTCCTGAGACTCACCCCTCGCCTGGGGGGCGGTGGTTTGTTGGCATCTCTCCGTGAACATTTCAAGAAACTCTTGCAACTGTCATCTGAAGAGGAAAACAGCTTGTCTTTGGGTTTGGATTTTGTGATCGTATTTAACAGGTGACTTTGGTGGGCACACTTGGTCTATCCCGGAGCTTCTCCTTGTAAGAGAAGTCGTGTATTCCTTGTGCGCTGAGCAAGGGCGTCAGAAGACTTCGTGATGCTGTATTTCAGCAGGACTGATTTTTTTCTAAGTAGGCCTGAGCTTTATTTATCAATGAAATCCAAGGAGAAAATGAGGTTAATGAAGAGGTATTAGTCAAATACCCCCTTATCCCCACCCCACCAAATTAGCTGTTGGATTTTTGGAAACTCTGGAATAACTCTGGCTCATTTTGTTTTGCTTGTTTTTTTTTTTTTTTTCCTTCCAAAGGCAAAAGCTATGATACAGTTCCTCTTAAAGTTTAAAATGTTTTCTTCCTCAGCTCGAATATTAATTTTTGGTGTAATCGTAACCTGCATGACCTGTGAATCTGAATCCACTGTCTCCCTTTCCTGCCGTCTTTCCAGCCAACATTTAGACGTGTTATGTGGTCGGCATTTATTTCCTAGGTTCACGGCCCTGGGAGGCTGCGGCGTGTCCGCCCCACCTGGCGGGGAAGAGACCAGCTGTGCATGGCAAACGGTGCCACGGACTCAACAGTCTCTTCCAGTGTCCATCGTAGTGGCCTCTTCTGCGCCCACCCCCTTCTGTGTCTTTGAATGGGATTAAACCCGATTCCAAACAATGTCGACACAATCACAAAGCTTCTAATGCATTTTCTTCTTCTTCTTCTTGTTCTTCCAGTTTTAGTTTGCTTTTCTTAGAAAACAGTGCGTGGCCAGTGCTCCTTCTGTTCTCTTACCGCAGACCAACCATCAGGTGGTATCAAAGCACAAATACTTTCCGGAGGGGAGCGCACTGACCCGGCCAGTGTTGTGTGACACACGGTGGGACACCCCTTCTGGAGGTGGGAAGGACGAGTTTCGCCCCCCAGATTTTAATCCAACTCGTGTGTCCACCGGACGTCGCTCTCCTGGGGAGCAGACGGCAGCCTGTCGGACGCTGGGGAAACCGCGGGCGTGTTTCTCGGTGGTGACACACTGGCCAGCACACAGCCGGGCAGCCAGCTCGCGCATCGCATGGAAATTTCGCAGGTTTTCCATTTCAGCCCCGTGTCGCGTCATGGTGGCTGATGAGTGTGTCCATCTGCCTGGAGAAAGGACAGAAACCGTTTTCAAGCCTTGTGTCCGCAGTTGGGTGTGTGTTCGAGGCTGCGTGTGCGTGTGTCCGTGCAGGGAGAGGTGCCCCTTCCACACTCCGCCGTGAGATTGTCTCATTTCATCCCTTCCCTGCCGCCGCGTCGCCGCGCCATGTCACGCCAACGTGGGGAGGACTCGCGCCCCCCCGCCTGGCACGTCGCTCCTTTTTGTCTGTGACCTCATTCTCCAGCTAACTCCATCTCACCAGCTGATTCAGCATCAGGCAGGATCCCGCCCTTCGGCATGGCACGTCCAGCGAAAGGCCAAACAGCAAGTCCAAGTGAGTTTTAAATTGTAATTAATCACCCTTTATTTTTTACACTCGAGAGCGGTTGTAGTAAAGGCTGTCATTAATAAATTCGGTTCTACCTTACACGGAGTTATGTCTTTCTTCGTTCTCTCTTGAAATTGTGACACTCTCTAATCCAGAGGTTCTCAAACTTCAGCTAAACACGTCAGAACCACCAGGAGAGGTCGTTAAAACACGTGCTCGTGTCCGTCCTGTCCCGTCCCGTCCCCAGAACTTCCAGTGTAGTGGGTCTGGGTGGCACTGAGGAATTTGTGTTCTGAGAAGCTCCTAGGTGACGCTGTTGCTTGTCTGGGAGCCACACTTTGGGGAGCACTGCTCTGACCTAGTTCCCTAGGAGGGGAAGGGGACAGGCACAGTTCTGTGGCCCGGGAGGGAAAGGTCCCTTTGCGCTGCGGAATGCGGATCAGTGAGACACAGGGCCAGAGGCGAACGGGGAATCTCTGTCGCTGAGGTCGTTGTGTCCTGGTTACAGTCACCTGGGGACCCCGTCAAATCCAGATCCCCAGGCCTTACCCAAGCAGTTCTGGCGTGAGGGATCTAGAGTATGTGTTTTTTTAAAAAGCTCCCTTGAAAATTGAATCCACAGTGGTATTTTGGACTCATGGACCTAGATAAATGTTGATAATATTGACACCCTTTTTAGAAGGAAATAATGTCTCACAGTCCTTTGGAGCAGGAATCTTAAAAACCCATTGGCGAAATACAAAATTAAATGTCTTTTCATTGCGAATTATCACTGCAGAAGACAACTTCTGTCTTTAAAACTGATTAAATGAATACAGGGTTTTTAGTGACACTTAGACCCGGACAATGTAATGTCAGACATTTTTGGGAAAAATTTTGGCCTCACTTCCCTGGATATTTGAAACAAAAACAGTTATTGTGATTGTAAGGAAATTTATTGGTAGTGATTGGAGATGACCGATCCCTCTACCCTGAGTTTTCTTATTATCATCCTCAGATACTTGGCCCTCCTTGCTCGCTGCAAACTCGGAGGTCAACAAAGGAAAAAAAATTGTGGCTCAGAAGGAAAAGGATGCTTTGTCTCCAAAACTCAAAACTTTCAGGAAGTTTCTTCAGTGTGTAGAAGGTAGACCTCAGGGGAAGATTATTAAATTTCTCTTTATTTCTATTGTTGAACTGGTTACTACAAACATTATTGCGTCCGTAATCCACCGTTTTTAAAAATGAACTCAGGAACTAAAAAGTGGAATTTTGCATCCCTTAGTACTTGAAAAAGAAGTGCGTTTACTTCCTTCCTCTTCTTCCTTGTCCCAGGGAATAATGAACCTCTACTTTTCTTTCAGTTTTCTTCCTGCCGCAGGTCCCGGTTGTCCTTCCCACAAGGGGATTCTTGGAAGTGTCTCTTGGCCTTTTCTTATGCAAAGTGTTGGAGCCTTCGCGTCCCTGCCTTTGTGTGGGCAGGAGCTGAGTGGGGTCGGTTTGCGGTTCGGGGAGCTTCTCCCAGCGCCTGTTTCCGGCTCGCTTGGACTTGGACGGGAGCCCTGGGAAGCCGTGGGCTGAACAATGAGCAGCCGGGGCGCAGTGACCTGGCAGGCCCCTCCAGCTCTTTGTCACTTACTCCTCAAAGCCCTCCTTCTCTAGGGAAATCCTGTTCGGACCTCCAAGGAAGAGCTGGGAACCTCTCCACCAGCGGAGGTTCGTGGCCAGCGCTCCCCAGCGAGGCCAGGGGGCTGTTTCTGGGTGCTGACTTCCGAGCCAGCGTCTGTCTAGAAGCACACGGGTGTTGGCTTTATCACGATGACACAATAAAATCCGTAGAAAATCCATATGTGACAACAGACAAGATAGCCAGACTCAGCTGGTGGTGGCGCAGGGAACAGGGAAGAGAAGCCCAACCCTGAACAGGGACCAAAGCCATCTTTATAGACACCCGACCCCCACCCCCACCACCTTCCTCTTTGTTTGGAGAGGTTTGCTGCAAAGGTAGAGTTCATAAAATCACGGTTTTTAGGACTTCTTTAATTGGAGGGATTAAATACAGTTTCCTTTGGGGTGTTCGTGCTGACCGGTTCTCTTGTAAACTTGCCACCAGCCAGAGGATGTTGGTTTAGTCCCCTCCTGGCATCCATTAGCCCAAAGCAAACCCCTGGGGACCCGCACTGGCCGGTACAGTTTATTCTTCCACTTCTAGGAACTTCCAAGTGAAATAAATCTGAAGGAAGAGCGAGCTAGCTCATGGCTTCTCGCCGCGTAAATAATATACTCGGAAAAGAAAACAGGCGCGTGCAAGCGAGGTCGCGGTGTCCCCGCTGCACGCACTTGCCCCGTGCTGGGGGGAAGCTGCCTTTTAAACCGGAGCACGTGAGCCCGCACAGGGTCAGTCTCTGCGTTTGCAACTGGTCCGAGCAGGAACGTTTTAATGGCCTGCCCTCTAGCGTCGGCCACGTGAAACCACTGCCGGTGGAGCTGGAATAGTGATTTCAGGGTGACGGCACGTTCCGGACGGCTCGTGTAATCAGAGGCGCTTGCGCTTTGGAGAAACTTAGGGGGGTGCACAGCTCGTGTTCTATTTCTTTTATTCCTGGAAATGGCACGCTCCTTCTGGAAAGTTAGGGAGCAGGGCGTTTGGATCCCGTCACCATCTACGTCCCGATTTTGCTGCTGCGGTTTCATTAGGGCTTCTCAGCAGCGGGCGTGCAGGTGGAGCGGGGCCGTGCCCGCCCACCGCCCCTCAGACGTGGTTTCTAGAAGACGCTGGTGCTAGTCTACAACTGCTCATCTATCTGCCAGGCAGAGGCTCCGTGTCCAGGCGCCCGTCAGCAGGGTTGGGAAGACAGCACCCTGCACCCCCTGCCAAACACCCTGCACGGGACCCAGAGGTGTGTGTGACCCGAGGCCCCAGGGTCCTGGTTCGCATCTCGATTCCTCTTCAGAACAAGCACCCTTCCCGGAACAATGAACAGAATAGTCTTTATATTTCCTCTAAAAACAACAGTTCGGATCCCCTGGGGTTTTACTTTGATCTGAGAATCTGCAACACTAA